AGAAAGGCAGGTCAGGGGGATTAACGATACTATATTGGTTTCAGCGCCCCCCAACAGATCGAACAACAGATCTTTCCACTAATTTATTCTCCCATAGAGAGGATCGAAAGCGCGATAAAGAAATTTTTGAAACACAGTGACGAAGATAGAATGTTTTAAAAGGGTATAAAAACATAAAAAAGTAAAATCGTGTGGAAACTAAGAAATATCAATATATATATATATATATATATATATATATATATATATTGACATTTTAGTTATACTACGTATTTTCTTGATGAAAGGGTATCGGTCGACACCTACTGAAGCATTTTATATGACAATATTCGTCTTACTAACATAGACATAACATTATTATGTCATATAAAATATGTGTGTCTACTTATGCACATCAAAAATATAATATCATAAATATCAACTAAAATCAATTTAAAGATATGTTTATGTATTATATCTTTATTAAATCCCTTTACTAGAACTCTTGTCTTTGTCGTTAATGAACACTGTTAGCATTTAAAATTACATCACATGAGTTAAAAAGATTAAAGTAGAACAAATATAAAGAGGATATTTTTACAGTCAGTAAAAATTCTTGATATCACCATATAACTTAAATATGACATTTACCTTGATATCTGCTAACATCTACATCCTCCAATTTTTACTAGGAAAACTTAAATTGGAACATTTTACATGACAATTTATATCCTATGTAATATAAATATAATATTATTATTCCACATACGATATGCATGTTTATTTATACACATTAAAAATTAAATAACATAATTATCAGCTAAGATCAATTTAAAAGACATATTTATGTATTATATATTTATCGTCGGTAAAAATCCTTTACTCACTTGATACCACATCTATATAAGTGCACATGCCAATCACATCAATACATTTTTTAAGAGAAATATAAACAAATACTCCCTTCCCCCAACTAAGCATAGTGAGATACAAAGAGAGAAAAAAAAATGTGTTTGATAATATATATTTGTGATTCAGAAGAGAAAGAGCTTGGAAGACAAGCTGCATCAGGAGCTTGTCCTTCTTGTGGTGGCAAAGTTCAAGCTGTTGATGTTGAGAGTCGTTCAAAATTCTGTTTTCTTCCTCTTTGCTTCATTATTAAGAGGAAATATCAATGTACTCTTTGTTCTAGGCGTTTAGTCTTGTATTCTTCTTGAACACAAATTGAAGGTGTGTCTTGTTATTCTTGATGATGCTCGAGCTAGTACAGAGTCGTATACATTGATCTCAACTTATTTGGGATTGAGGCGTGTCTGTTATTGTTGATGATGTTCGAGCAAGTACAAAGTCGTATAATCAATCTCAACTTATTTGGGATTGAGGTGTGTCCGTTATTGTTGATTATGTTCGACCTAGCTTTTGTGTACATGGACTCTTTTGTCCGGTACAATTGTTCTCTCCTACTTTCCTATTCCTTCTATTAATTACATTTTTTCTAAAAAAAAAAGTAATGGTAATGTTCGAGCTAGTACAGAGTCGTATAATCAATTTCAACTTATTTGAGATTGAGGCGTGTCTATTATTGATGATGTTCGAACTAGCTTTTGTGTACTTGAACGACTCATTTGTCTCGTACAATTGTTCTCTCCTTATCTCATTTTCCTCCCATTAATTCCATTTTTTAATGTTCTTTTATGATGCCGATGATTGGCCGGGAAGGGCTAGTGAGGATTCATAGAGCGAACATCAATTTGTATTGGAAATGAGATAAAGTTATTTTGATGATTTTTGGACTAGTTTGCAAGTACAAGGTATCTATTTGTATTTCACCAATATCAATATTTGAAAATTTTGTTACATTCGTGCTAAGATTTAAACCTGATCTCTTATGTATTCACCGGATCTCACTGATTGCTAGGTGGCACCATTAATAAATTTATTTTATTGTATCTTTCTCTTTGAGATTATTATGATTTTGTAAATATAGAGGGATTATTTTTAGGGGGTTCTTTGTAAAATTTCAATTGTAAGTTCAAGATGTTTTGGCCAATGCAATATTCTTGATTTTTTTTATTGATGACATTGTAATTTCTAAAAATTCCCTTAATTTATCATGATTGAGAAATTTATTGTACTCCAATGTATCAACTAATCCACATTGTTCAATCATAAAAAAAAAAGTTCTAAAAAGTATCTATATCCTTATTATATTAAGTATCTTATATTTATATTAAGTATCTTATATTTAGCTCATATACACCAATAACTAGAAAAACATTTTACTTTCTTATTACAATTTAATTTGTCATATTAGATTTCACTTATTTATTTTTCAAGTTACTAATTAATTGGACTTACTACAAGCATATCAACAACTTTACGATGAATGATTGAGATTCATTTGTCTTTAAATGTTCATAAATAAATTTCGTTATATATAAATTTGAATTTAATTGGACTTTAATATAAATTTCAAATCTCAGTTAGAGAGGTATACCCAATCATCATTGCGTTACATGATACTTCGTATGTATGTGAATTCACATATGTATATTTTACTAATTTTTTTAAAAATAACACTACTATATATCATCTCGAAACAAAAATATGAGTTCAGAACTTTACGTAATCCTGAAAAACCCTAAATATGTTGTTATATAAAAATAAACCTCGTAATACATAAATCTTATAAATCTAAATTTAATCGAATTTCACTGTTGATATCGCATTGTTGGCTCAAATTGAAGCCAAGACAAATCATGTGTTCCTATCCATAAGTGTATATCTATCATGTATGTATGTCTTGTTAACTAAAAGAAAAAGATCAAAGATATGGTCCCTTCCTTATCCTTTTCAGTCTTTGCTGTCATCACACCTCATTAATAAAATGCAACCCCACTTATAAAAAGCACCTTAAAATGCCCCTTCAAATTCAAAAAGACAACATTTTGAAAAGCTACTTATCTAATTAATCTACTAATAAAATCTTTTATTTCAAAGTTGGTGCATTTTATTATAGTAAAAAAATATATATAAAAGGTAGAACACATTAACTTCCTTTTACAATTGTCAGTAATTTTTTCTACTAAATTCTTTCAAAAACAATTTTTAATTATTTTTTCATGATGAAAGTAATGTTTATATATACTCTATTTTTTTCTAGATTTATCTATGAGATTATACATTAGGTATACTTTAATAATTGTTATTATTATTATCATATGTATTGACTCAATTTTTTAATTTTTGTATTTGAAGTTACGTGATAAAGTGTTATTATCATATGTATTGACTCAAATTTTTTAATTTTTTTCACGTGTATTCGCAAGGACATATTGGTTTCACTTAGAGTATGATATTTGCTTTAACTATGTGCATTAGACTCAATAATAATGTAAATACAGATCGATTTAAATTGATGTTGGTTTATATAATAATAAAAAGTGATATATATTACATGATTAAATTATATATGTAATGTATGTTTGAGAAGTTGCAAAAAAAAAAAATCAAAATTTTAAGTTGAAACTATTTAGCAAACCCGTTTTTATCATTTTTTCATATATTTAATTAAAATAAAATTTAAGTAAAATATCTAAATAAAATTTACGAAGAGATTTTAAGTAATTGTACAAGTATTTTGGGAGTAGGGTGACATTATAAAAGTGCTATCTTGGGTTGGTTTATATATAAGCACAATGTTCACTTTTCACCAATTTTTTTCCATTTTCCTTAAGACTTACTACTACATATTATATGTGGTCACCAAGTTACATCCACATTAGTAGATAGATAGTCACTATCATTTTTATAGTTAGAAAAAAAATACTGAGGTTTTTAAAAATAACTAATTTATAATTATTTTATACGGATACTGTTATTCATGACATCCTACATATAGTATAGTATGCATATTCTTATCTAGTTCGAATAGTTTCTTTTTACAAGTTTAAGAGTGTTTAGATTTTGATCTAGTATATTCAAGTGAACTCATATGTGTATGTCGTATATTAACTCTCTCGTTTGCCTCTCTCTGTGTATGTATCTGTAATTCAGAATGTATTTCATATCCCAGATACATATGTATCTATATAGTGTGATTCGTAGGCATGTATCTGGGATATTTTTCACTCGCCTCAATCTTATTTCGCTTACCTCTTTCCTCTCTTACTCGTCTCTCTGTGTATGTCGTATATTAATACTCTTTTCGTTCAATTTTATTTATGCACTATTTTTAAACTTATCACTTTTAATCGATAAAATAACATCGATTCAAGAGACTTGAAGTACCTACTACTACATTATTCAGCTACAAGGATATATACACGATATGGTATGATATTATAGTGTGAATATTCTTTTTCTTTTAATATATTAATGAAACTTCTAAATCTCAATTTATATGATATATTGATCTTTTATTTGATCTTTCTCAAAAGAATATTATTTTGTAGTTTTAAATTCTTTTAAAGTGATTTATAATTATATAAATATTTAAAATTTATTTTGAACGATAAATATAAAAAATCTTCTTTCATTTATTTTAAATTTTATACCAAATTAAATCATATCAGATAAAATAGAACGAATGGAGTAAAATTTACTGACTCCCTAAGAAAACATTATAAAACATGAACTAAAATTTTCAAGTAGTTGTGTTTTGTATTTTGCAATCTTATAAATGTCACTTTCATTTAATTTAATTTGCATGAATAGATTGGTTTTGATCCTGTCTCTAGAGCAATCTTTGATAACTTTGTCAAACATTAATAATGATTGAATCACTACGTGTCTATATTATATGAAAAAAAAAGATAATAATACAAATAAAAGGAAACTTCCCAAAAAGGATTGTCTTTAATAATTTCAAATTTCTAATTGAATGAAATTATTTTTGAATATTAAAAAATTGATAGAATATAAAATAAGGATAATGAAATTATTCTATAAAAATATGACCTATCATATCTGTTTAGATTTAGGAGATTTTATTACAGTAGAAACTAGCAATTGAAAAAATAAATCACTTAAAATAAAATAATTTTTTAATACAAAAAAATATTACTTTCTTTTAAAGAGAATTTTCACAAATATCCACTCAAAAATAGCTTAAATATTCTGCATAGCTATAGTTTGATAATTACATTTTGTAGCTGCATGTTACAGAGAGGAGAGAGGTGAACGAGACTGGGAGAGAGGAGAGAGGCAAACAGTGAATTTATATATATATATATATATATATATATGTATAACAAGCAAGATTGAAAGAGAAAAGAGAGAGACAAGCGAAATCGAAAGAGAGACGAATGAGAAAAGCATAAGTAGAAAAAAAGTGAATTGTATAGTATGACAGATAGCTTTTTTACCATGAAAATTAAAACTTGTAAGTGCACTAGTTAACTTTTTTTAGCATCATAAAATTTCTTTCACTCTAAAAAAGAGAAAGAAAAATTATATGCAATTCTAACCCTACTAAAAAACATTACATTTATAATGAACTTTTTCACTAGTCCATCGTTATTTTATTTGAAGTTAACGAAAAATGTATCTCCAATTCATCGTTTAATACAATTAGCGGTTAATTTTACTATTTAGCTATGAAGTTTGTTTGTTTCTAAATCTTTTTTTTTTAGTGTACAATAAGAAATACAATAAAACATAGCCAATTGATATTATTGTATACATTAAAATAAAAACTTTAATATAGGGGAAAATATAGGATCTACATACATATACAAACACAATAAAGGAAACTTCTTCGAACAAGAAAATTTTGTCTTGCTCTTTTGTTTTATTGTTAATATGTTATTCTCAAACAGATTGTTAATATATATTTATTATTTTTTTGGCTTCTCGTTTTATTTATGTGGTATCAGTTAACTAAAATATAGGAAATAAATACTTATTTTTGGACAAAATACTGTAATAGCTGTATAAGGCATCGTTTTTAATTTCTGACATTTTTGGACGTTCAAAGAGTAATTAATAAAATTTCCAGTCAAATTAACGGAGTTAACTAGAAACATTTCACGTGTTATTTAATTGAAATAGAGGAAGTATTAAATTGATTATTATTTGCGATTCTTATTTAATTTTCGAAGAAATATGAATTTGATTATACACATATATTTATCATAAATATTAATTCCCTTTTATAGTTGAAGTAGATCAAATTTCAAGTCATATGAATATACCTTTGGTACCAAATACATTATGAAATTTAAATTCATAAGGAGATAGGCGAACGAGATAAGAGAGAGGCGAGGGAGAGAGGAGAGAGACGAGTGAGATAGAAGAGAGGTGATTTGTTGGGTATTAATTGTCCTGAGTTTCTTACTAATTTAGGTTTTGCCTTTTAAGAAAATGTTAGGATTAGCTAGCCCTTTTCTTGTAGGAAAAAGTTAGGAATTTATAAATAGATGATCATTCCTTATAACTTAATTAACATTCACAACGTAGTTCTATGGATTTTGAGAGTTTTGGTTAGGGGGTTAATTATGTTATTTCTATTTATATATAGTGGATTACTCATCTTTTTTTGGACGTAGATCGATTGACTGAACCACATTAAATCTTTGTGTCTTTTGTTATATTTCTCGTTTGTCTTCTTAATTTTGCTTTGCTAGCTTCCGCATGACACCTAATTCTTTCAATCCTAACAAGTGAGAGAGTCAGTTTTCCAGATACATGTGAATCATGCTTGGATACAATGTATCTAAAACAGACACCTAATTTGACTTGCATATTTTTAAAATGAATATATTTGTGTGCATCCGATACATATATATGGTGAATAAATGTGGTATGAAAGATAATTTCAAAAATTAAAGAAAATACACGTTATTAGACTCTAAACTAGTGATAATTGTTTATTTGTTCTTTAATTTTCATTTCTATATATGAGCTCAATTATTTAGAGTCACGTCATGTAAGGTCTATTTAAGAAAATAAAATGACTACTAACCAAAAAGAGTTCTAGACACAAAATTCGAACTCAAGATCTTTGATAAAAGAAAGAGATCCTAAGGAATTCTTTTTTTCTTAAGGATCAATTAGACATCACCCTCTATCCATTTT